GAAGCCGGTCAACCTGGGGCTGTGGGACACGGCCGGGCAGGAAGACTACGACCGACTTCGGCCACTGTCCTACCCCCAAACCGTAGGTGGTAAAGGGCCCGCCCCAGGAAGGCGCTGGGCGGCTCCCTGAGGTCCAGGGGCGGGCGGGGAACACGGGGCTCCCGTGACCACCTGCACCTGCGCCCTCCTTCCTCCTCCCAAGGATGTCTTCCTGATCTGCTTCTCCTTGGTGAGCCCAGCCTCCTTTGAGAATGTCCGAGCCAAGGTAAGCAGGGCTTGGGGGCCGGGGGGGGTCTGTCCAAGGGCGAGGAGGGTGCCCAGAGGACTTGCCCTGACTGGACCTCACACAGGCAGGCAGGGGCAGGGGTGGTGAGCGAGGCTATCGGAGAAGGGAAGGGCCCTGGCTGGGAGGCCCTAACAGGCCTTGAAGCTTCCCAGCTGGGTATTCTTGTTGCCTGTCAAATTAGTGGTCACCTGTGAAACAGGAAGGAGTAAGAGTGGGTCTAGGGGCCCTAGGGAGCCATGGCCTGCTCTGGGCCAGGCTTGGGTATAAGCCCCTGAGGGGTAAGGGTCAGAGCCTCGGTCCCCACAGTGGTACCCGGAGGTGCGGCACCATTGCCCCCACACGCCCATCCTCCTGGTGGGCACCAAGCTGGACCTCCGGGACGACAAAGACACCGTCGAGCGGCTGAGGGACAAGAAGCTGGCACCCATCACATACCCTCAGGGCCTGGCCATGGCCCGGGAGATCGGTGAGTAGGCTGGACTAGGCCTGTGCTGACACCCCCCTGTTGGCCCCCTTCCCTCACTCTCCTCTCCCTTGATGCCCCCAGGCTCAGTCAAGTACCTGGAGTGCTCGGCTCTGACTCAGCGGGGTCTGAAGACAGTGTTTGACGAGGCCATCAGGGCAGTGCTCTGCCCACCCCCGGTGAAAAAGCCTGGGAAAAAATGCACAGTCTTCTAGAGCTTGGAGTCTGGGGGGCAGGCCCGCCCCCACCCGTCTGCTGTCCTGTTGAGCTGTCCTGTCTGGTGTCTGAGTCTGCTGTGGGGAGTGCTGTGGGTGGGGAGGGGCAAGAAGCATGGGGTGGGTCCTGGCCACTCTGCCTCCTCTGTGGGGGCACGGCTTCAGCCTGCCCTGGCCCCCACGGGAGGCTGGGAGGGAGCAGGGTCTCCCTTGGGCTGCAGGGGTGGGTCAAGGGTAGCCCCAGGATGGGCTTCCCTGACGGGGGAGGGGGGTTTCTGTCCATGCACCCAGGATGGGGTAGCCCGTTCTTATTTTATACAATAAACGTCTCCACCAACATCTCTTGCCTGTCCCTAACCACCCCAGCCGTGGTACAGAGGAGGTGAGCTTGTCCCCACACCCTGGGCAAAAGGAGGGGAGAAAGGAGCATGCTCACTTGTCTCCATCCCCAAAGCCAGGGGCCCACATCGAAGTGGGAGCAGGTGTATTTAGTCCCTTCTGGACGAAGAAAGCCCAGCATGCTGACTTTGGGCCTCTGGGAGGGGTACGCACAGAGGATGGATGTGGCTCCGCTCCAGCCCTCCCAGGCGTGGAGGGGGACAGTCAGCAGTCAGGCCATGGACCCGTTTGGGCAGCACCCCCCACAGCTCCCCCAGGCTGAGTCTGCAAGAAGTCAGGAGGGAGGGCATTCAGGCAGAGGGACCCCAGTAGACGAAGGTGCGGAGGTCAGGACAGCATGGTGGGGAGAGGGGACAGCAAGCGGGCAGTCTGGCATTGCTGAAGTCAGAAACAGTGGGAGATGAGAGGGCTCAGCCTGGGAGGGCCCAGGGGTTTGGACTTCACTCCCTGGCCACAGGGCACCGCTCCAGGGAGACAGGTGATTAGGCCACAGTGGTCTTCAGAGCCAACTGCCAGGTTTCACGAACTTTGCATTCAGTTCTTAAACGGCCATTATTGACTATAGAAACGTGGCCTCTGGACTTCCCAGCCTCTGCTGGAAAGCTGGCCATGTCCAAAAATCTTGGGGAGGGAAGCCAGGCTGCCACCTGACCTGGGACACGTATTGAATGGCTATCTCCCCACCTGGGACTCGTTTCTACACCCAGCCCTGAGCTCTGCAGCTGTTAGACACTTGCTGGCAGCCTAGGAATCAGCATGCAGGCTGAGCAGAAGAGTCATGTTTATTGGAGGGATGGGGGGCAGGCAGGGTTCAGCATGGAGTAGAGCCGTGTGTGGGTGATGGGGTCTCAGGTGGCCAGGAAGCCCCCGTCCACCGGCACTGTGGAGCCCGTGGTCATGCTGCTCCGGTCACTCAGCAGGAACAGGATCATACCTACCACGTCCTCCACCTCTGTAGGCAGGGGGGTCGGGGTCAGGCGGGGATGGGGGCTGCCCTCCATTCTTCCCTCCCACCCTCACCCGGGCAGGCACAGGGGCTCCTGGGGCAACTTCGGCTGGGCTCTCTGCCGACTCACCAGCAAACCTGCCCAGTGGGATGCGGTCCAGCATGGTCTTGGCCTTAAGGGGGTCGCTCCAGTTGGCCTTGCCCATGGGTGTCATCACCACTGTGGGGTTCACTGCATTCACTCGGATCTGAGCCGGGACGGGTCGAGGTCAGCAAGGTAGGCTGGGGAGCCCTGTCTGAGCAGCCTCCCCCACATTTACCCCCACCACCCAGGCTGGGGGGACACTGAGCTGAGTCTGCAGGAAGTCAGGAGGGAGGGCATCCAGGCAGAAGGACCTGGGTACAAAGGTGTGTAGGCCAGGACAACGTGGTGGGGAGAAAGGACAGCGAGTGGTCTCACCTTGTGTGGCCCAAGCTCCAGGGCCATCACTTTGGTCAGCATGTCCATGGCCCCCTTGGTGGCACCTACGAGGAAGGACAGCATCAGTGGAGCCTGGGCTGGCTGCAGGCTGGGGTGGGGTGGGCCAGGCCCAGCCGGGCTCACTCACAGTAGACGGTGTGGTTAGTGAGTGCTCGCTGGGAGGCCTGGCTGGACACGTTCACGATGGACCCTGGGGCTCCGCGAGCGATCAAGCCCCGGGCCACGATCTGGAATTGCAGAGGGAGCATGAGGCAGGACTCGTGTCACCCACCCGTTCCCACTCCTGCCCTGAGGGCAGCTCACCTGGGACACCTGGATAACAGCCCGCAGGTTCACGCCGAAGGAGCTGCAGGCAGAGGGAGGGACCCTGGTCAGGGTCTGTGGCTGCTGCTGCGGGGGCAGCCCCCACCCAGGGTTCCTCCACTGGGGGCTCACCTGTCACACGCCTCCTTGGTGACCTCCAGAAAGGGCTGCAGCAGCGCCACGGCGGCATTGTTCACCAGCAGGTCCATGGGGCCCAGGCCGCTCAGGGCCCGCTCCGTGGCCTCCCAGTCACTCAGGTCCACGCACACGGGCTTTATCCCGGGGCACTGTGTGTACGGAAGGGGGGGCACAGTCATGGGGGGGCCAGGGGTCCCATAGGAGCCCCCTTCTTGGGGCTCAGAATCCCAGGCTGTGAGGCAGAGGGGAGGGGGGTGACGTGGCCTCTGGGCCACTGGGCAACTCAGAGCTTGGGGACCAGGAGCCTCCGGACCTTGCACTTCCTCCCCGCCTCCGCAAGGCAGCCATTTCTGCTTCCCGCCGTGCTGGGGGAGGGGAGGGGGGTCGCGGTTCTCTAGGCCACTCGGGAGCCCACGGAGTCCGCGCGCCCCGGGAGGGCTGCTGAGGGTCCTCGGTCAGCCCGGGCCC